TAATATGCTAGAATGTAGCACTAAGCTAGACTATCTAGGATATAAACATCAAGCTATTAGAGAATAAGCTACTCTTTAAAGACCTTAGTTCTTAGTAGCTCTAGAATATTAGCTATTTAATAAGTGTTATAAGTTAGAAGGATATCTTTATTAGTAAGTTTCTACTATTACCTCTAAATAAATAGTACGTAGTAGCTTAGAGACTTAATAAGTTTATCTAGAGAGGGTCTAAGGCGCTAGACACTCTAAAGAATAAGGTATACTTAGTAGTACTATTCTTAGTAGGGTACTTATAGAAGAAGAAGCGGAGAGGAGTAACAGTCGCCTTTAAGAAGAAGTAATTCTTTATAATTAATCACCTAGTGGAAGTCTAAGTATATATAGAGTAATATTTAGATAGTATTAAGAAGTAGGGTTTAAAGTAATACTTCTAGAAGTATATCTATAGATACTAGTAGTTATAAATTATTAAGAGCTAGGTAATAGATAGGGTCTTAAAGTAAGATACTATAAATTTAATTAATAACTATATCTTATAGCAATTACTTAAAATAAATTCTAGGGAAGCGGCTACGCGATAGCTTACATATAAAGAGCTAAACTAGATAAGGCACTAAGCTAAAATAATAATAGCTAAGAGGTTAGTAGTTAAGGCCTAGGGTACTAGTTAAGTGTTAGAGTATAATATATAAGGGATTATTATAGCCCTAAGTAGTTCTACTTAGATGTTTCTTCTACTAGTTACCGTAGAGAGCATTTAAATAGGTTTAAAGAAGGGTAGTAAGAAATACTAAAGGAATAAACTATCTAGCATGTTACTACTAAAGCGTATAACAAGATTCTAAGATTAGTTATAGGGTAGTAAGAAAGTTATAGTTCTAGATTATAAGAGTGCTAGAAGCGGCTCTATACAAAAAGTAAGAAGAAGAGTAAGACTATAGAGGAGATAGATTCGCTAGATATAAAGTAAGAGAAGGAACTTCTAGAGTATAGTCCTGCTATTATAAAAGATACTAAGGCCTTAGATTACTAATATTTAAAATAGGTTCCTATAGAGCTTCTTAACTTAATAGCGTCGGAATCTACTCTTAAGAAGCTAGAAGGAGATAAGGCTAACTAGATACTTAAGATATAATTCTAGAGAGTAATTAATTTTAAGCCCTTTAAGAAGGAGCTTTACGCTATTTATATCTAGGAACTTAGTAAGCTTTTAGAGCTATAAACTAATATGCTAACTAAAACACTCTATACTTAGCTAGTATATATTACTTATATTAGTCTCTATAACTCTCGGCTAGTTATAGATTCAATATTTTAGTTTAGTATATATATTAATAGAGAAACTATAGACTTCTATAATAAGTATTCTAGAAGGGTCTAGTAGTCTTATATATTCTCTATCTATCTAGGATTTAAACTAAAAGGTAGTATAGATAGTTTACTAATACTTCTTAATAATTAGGTAATAAAGGGTCTAAAGATAGGATATAGAGATAAGAGTCTTAAGAATATTATTAATTCTTAGTATTAGAATATCCGCGTAGAGTGAAACTAGATCCTCTAATATTACTAGTAGTACTAGCGGAAGTATTTGTATCTAGATGATACTAAGAAAGAGCTTTACCTACTAAATATAATATTCTCCTTACTCTAGTAACTTATATAGTAGGATTTATAGCTACTCTATCTAGAAATTGCCGAATAAGATAGTAAATATTATATATTTATCGCATATTCCTTTATACTAAAAGCCTCTATCTATAGAAACTAGAACTTAAATCTTAATAATATCCGCCCTAGATACCTAAGCGTAAAGTATAATAGGAAGTACTTTTAGTAGGGAATAAGAAATATAGATAATATTGCGGTTACTTATATATAGAGGTAGTTAGTAGCTTCTCTATTCTTTAGCTACACTATAGTCTTTAAGGTCTAGTTTACTTTATTAGTCCTAGAGGTAGCGCTAAGCGGCTTAGGTCCTATCTTAAATATATTAGTGGGTAGGATCCTCTAGTAAAACGCGGCGGTTATTCTTAATCTTAGAAAACTCTTTAGTATACTAACATCTTAAAAGAAGTACCCTGATAGTTAGTATAAGAAGGCCCTTAATAAGTTTAGATTAGTCTATCTAGCTCTTCGCTAAGCTAAGAAGTACTACTTTAGAGATTTATTCTTTACTAAGATAAAGAGAGACGATCTATTCTTAAGCTAGAGCTATCTACTATTAGGCGAAGATAAGTACTACCTTAGAGGAAACTACATAATTCTTTAAAACATCTAGGAAGTCTTAGGTATAGCGGCTTAGTATAAAATATCTATAGAGAAGTCTAATGCTTCTAACTATAGATTACCTATTACTAGAAGTATAGCTTAACACCTCCTAGTAGGAATTATAAAAGTATATAGGGCACCTAAAACTAAGGAACCTTCTAGTAATAAGAGGTCTAAGGCTAAGGTTCCTAAGGCGGAAGAATTTAATTAAGAAGGGATTAATAAGAATAAACTAGCTGCTAGTATCGAAAGCCTAGTTTTTCTATTAATATAAAAGAAGCTAAGTATTTTTAAATAGATCGAATCGCTCTACTTAGTAGTTTCTATAGTATAACTAGCGGTTACGAACCTTCTATATAGTTAGTCTATAGATTAACTTCTTACGGATATTGTACTAGATCTTAATCTAGGCGCTTTCTTCTTAGCCGGTAATTAGAGAATACGTAAGACTTCTACTACTATAAACAAGCTATAGATCTAACGTCTAGGTTAAAGTAAAACTAAGGAAGGCATTACTAGTAGTAAAGTTAAGAAGCCCGAGTAGGGTGTCTCTAGTAATAATAGTAGACCTATAGAGAGCGTCTTTAGTAGTGACGAGAAGCCTAAGAATAGTGCTTCTACTAAGGTTAAAGAGCCTAAAGGATAGGATCCGCTTTCTTTAATAGATTTAGAGAAGAAGCGGGCTATTACTACCGTGCGGAAGCTTAAGCGAGAGACTTAAGAGGCTATCTATAAGGCTATAGAGAAGATAAACGCTTCTAGAAGAGTATATAATAAGCTAAAGCGCTATTAGTAAGAGGACTTACTAGTATTAAGCTTTAATAGTAGAGTTTAGAGCTTCTTTATTTTTGTTTTTAGCGTTTATCTATACTACTATTTAGAGTATTAGAGTAGCTATAGAATAGCTACTAGGTGAGGGAGGTATACAGTAATATAGAAGATTTATTACGTGGAGGTTAGTATAGATGCGGCGCGATAGATCTTAAGGTTCTTTAGATAACTAAGATAGTTAAGTACTAGTTATATTATAGTATTAAGTAGTATTACACTCGTTCTATATACCGCGTAGTCTTATATAATCTATTACTATAGTTCTATTACTATCTTAATAGTTCTACCTCGATACCTTATCTCTATAGATGTATATAATCTACTTATTTAAGTCTAAACTTAAACTACTTACCTATAATAATACTACTATACTTACAAGATTTAAACTCTTTTAAGAACCTTTAGCTTATATTAAATAGTATATCTATTAGATTTATTCTAAGGCAAATAAGATTAGAGATAAAGAGATAGCTCTTAATACTTTAGATTATACTTTAGTTAAGTATTAGAACTAAATACTATAGAGAATAATTAACAAGCTAGTAGAATTAATACTAAAGAGAGTAGCTATATTAATTAAGGCTAAAAGCTAGTAAATAAGCTACTAATACTATATTTTTTAGATATAAAGCTTTTTTATATCTCTATACACATTAGTGTTTTGTTTTGCAGCTTAACTATCTTAGAGATACTTGCGTGCGGCTCTAAAAACCCTAGTAGCTTAGAGCTAGCTCTAAGCTATTAGATTTTGTCACTAAATTCTTATAGCTAGTCTTAAGTTATTAGATTTTACTACTAGATTCTAATGCTACCTCTAAGACCTTAAAGCTGCTAAGCTACCGAGATACTTAAGATACTTAAGATACTTAAGCTACTTAAGCTGCTTTTTAAAGTTCCACCGTCCTTACTTAATTTTCACCCTCTAGCTAGTAGAGGCAAGATAACTATATTTTTAAAAATTAAGCGATTTAAACTTATTTTTTTTAAAAGTTTTATAGGCGTATAATGTAAGTATAGCTGCTTCTATATATAGTAGGGGTAGTAGTTAATTAAGGTTTAATAGAGTTTAATAGATAGGAGCTTTATATAGTAGCTTAGTAGCTTAGTAGCTCTAAGTATTCTAAGTATTTTAAGAAGCTCGAGAAGCTCGAGAAGCCTAAAAAGCCTAAGAAGCTTAATTTAGCTAAGTATATAGGCCTTCTTACAAGCGGCTCGCGAGCGGCTCGCGAGAAGAATATAGACTTAGTACCTCTAAGATCTTAGAGGTGGCTCTAAGATCTCAGAGGTGGCAAATATTTTTGCCGATGCACCTTAATATAGAATATTATTCTAATGCATTATTTAGTTATAGAGATATCTATACTATAATAGGTAGGAGTCTCCTAGTGTTAATACGAGTCGGCTGAAATCCGGAAAGACTTTTGGCTAGAGACTGTATAGTATAATATGCAATGCTTTCTTACTACTTCTAACCTTACTCGTGTGTCTCTATTACCTAAATAACTAATTACCTCGGTTGAACCTGAATGCGACAGCCTTAATACCGTATAAACCGCTCCTAAGTCCACTACTAACCACCTCCCACACTGGCTACGCCGGAAGCTAGTCTCTAAGTAGTGCGCGCGGCGCCAGCGACGTTATATATCACGGCGGCAGCAAGGTAAACACAATAGGAGGTAACTGGCATCAAGGGAGGCATCAAGGGGCAAGATCTTATGTATTCTATCTAAGAAAACGCTGCCAAAAATAATGACACCATGCCAAGACAATTCAGCTCTATCTAAGCCCGTCCACCCTCGTCGAACCGTCCTCACGCCGGCCAGAGCCTAGTCCGACGGTCCGGTGGTGAGCCCTTATCTCGGCGGACCGTCCGAGAGCCTTAGACGAGGCCGGACCGACTAATGGACACCCTGCCCTCGGTACACTCGTGCCTTGATAATTGCTTTGTTATTAGCATCAGTGACGCAAAACCCTGCTGCTAATCGAACCATATCATGACCAGGTAGTTTAGTAGAGTAGTCAGTGTCCATTGGGTTCGTTAGTCGTGGTAGACCTAATTCAACGTCCATGAGCTCCACATCCACAGCTTGGCCAGGCGTGAAGTAATGCAGACGAATACCACGACTTTCTCGAGGAATGTGTGCCGCTATAAAGACGGCCAGCTCCACTAACATCTTGAGGCCTCTATGCAATTCTTGATTGTCAGACGCCGAATATCGTAAGTAGTTCGCCAGTTCGTCTACAAGTTCATCTACCAGGTCCTGAACGAGTATCTGGCGGGTTTTCTGGCTTTGTGGTGACTGAAGGATTTCTTGCAGGCCATCCAACGTGGCAACACGCCACCGCAACAGATTCTCGTACTGTTTCTGCGCTTCTTCAGACGATTTATGAGGTGCAATCGAAGCTATGTACGCATTCTCGATCGATTTGAGCTGAATCGACAGCTTGAGGTGGATATCCGGATGAAAGACGCGGTTAAAGAGTCTTTCTGCCAATTCGCGAGAGAAGAATGCTCGCCCGACTACATTCATTTCGTGCTTGCCGAGGGCCATCGCTTCTTCGTTCACGGACTCTTGCATCCAGCAGGGGATATGACACCAATCTTTGCGTATGTTGAAAGCTACCTGTTTGATCATACCATCGAGTCGGGCAAAGTGATTTGCGTACTGGGTATCGTCCAGGGAGGTCTGGGAGTAGTAGAGGCGCTTGTCTGCTACTAGCCTCTCGAGTCTGTGTGCTTGGGCCTTCTTCTCGAAATAATACTTTTTGACCTTTTGGTACTTGTCTTCTATCAGACGCGTTAATGGATTTGCAGAAGAAAAACGCCCAGCCCATGCATGAGCTAATGCACTTACTCAGCTCGTGGAATTCCGTCATGAGTTGCACTACCTCGTGCTGGCGCTCAATCGACATGGGAGCTTTTGGGAAATTTAATGCTGGCGCCATAGCTTCAACCTTCTCAGGCTGATCTTGGGGAACTGCTTCGTCCCCGCCTGTCTCCGATATCTCTGGCTCTACAAGAGTAGGGACGGAAACGTTGTTAACGCCATCTTGTCGAAGATTGGCGGTACCTATCACTTCGGTGGACTCTTCTTTATCGCTCTGAGTAAATTTGCTGAGTGGCGTGACGGTCTGGGACGATGTCTCAACGCTGTCGGCCAATCGATCATTGGTAGTTTGCTGACTTGTCAGAGCTGGCTCCGAACATTGAGGAGAGGCCTGCTCGATAACGGTCGACTGAATGGATCTGCTCTCATTCGGCGGAATGGCGACAGTAGGCTTAGCACCAGACGCTTGGAGAACAGCCTTGATTTCGCTCAATGCCGGTGGAGCTGGCGACGGTGAGACATTGAGAGTGGTAGCCGTAGATTCAAAGAATTCGTCGAGCTCGTCAGTCTCGTCTGACTCCTCTTCAGCAAGACAGCAAATGCCACAAAACCGCATTCCGTCACCTGTACATTTGATGATTTCGGTGATTAATTCGGCTGCTGTAGGTCGCGCATTGCGGTCGAGCCGTAACATCCTTTCAATCCATCCTAGCGGGATGTCGTCCTTCGCAAATCCGACGGTTCGAAGCTCCGCAATCAGCTGAAATGTTGCCTCAAGATTCACTCTGATAAATGGCTCCCGGCTTCCTGTGGTATCGAAGTACTCCTTGAAGTCACTCATCTTCCAGCCTTTAAGCACAGCGGCCATCTCTAGGAAGACACAACCCAAGCTCCAGATGTCTGAGGAAGCATTTCTTGTCGTCATTGCCGCAACCTCAGGCGCACAATATCTCGGTGACAGAGCTGTGATACCGGATGTAGTACTGCCGACGCCGTCCGCTGAATCTCGTGACAGACCGAAGTCAGTGAAGAGGACATTTCCGCCTTTGATCAGGATGTTTCCAGGTTTGATGTCCTTGTGCCTAATGCGATGATCATGCAAGTATTGCAGCGCGGTGACAAGGCAGCCAAAGAAGGTCCTGACTTCTGCAATCCGCGACGGCGGGAAAGGACACACAGCCAGGTAGGCGGCGAGATCGTGGTCTGCCACCGGGGACATGAGGATACCGAGATAGTGGGCATCGGTGTAGCTGCCGACGAACTCGACGATGTGGCGGTGCTTCACTCGTTTGAGAATGTCCACTTCCGCGGCAAATTGCCTCATAGCTTCCTTCGTATCGTTGCCGAAGACCGCACGGCGCCGCATCCGCTTTCTTGCATACTCTTTGTAGCTGATCAAGCTGAGGACTCTGTCTACCTGGCTGAAGCCGCCTGACCCAAGGATCTCCTTGGATTGAAAGGGTAGAGTTTCGCCCTTCGCATAGTGCCTGTGCCGTCCATTCTCGCCCTTTTCCAAGTCAATGGACTTGGTCAGGACGAGAGACTGAGTATCGCAGATATCTGCGCGCACGCTGGGGCTGAGAAAGGAAGGCAGACTACGTGTAGTGACTGGGAACCAGTGGTCATTGAAGCCGATATCAATGAGCTCGTTGAGCCTGCTCAGCTGACCAACCTGACGGAGGACAATGTAGAGGCGGGGCACTCTGCTCCAGGAGTCCTCCAGGTGCACCAGTAAGGACGAGACTTCTTGGATCTGTGCATCACTATAGGGGTTCCTTCTCCCTTCGTCGAAATATGCGCCTAGACGGCGGCTCAGGTCGTCCCGCCGCAACATTCCGCCAGGTGAAGTACTCCCCTCTCGTATCTCGTCTTCGTCGCTATGGCCTCTTAAAGTCATGTGGCATTGACGAGACTGGCGAGATCATGCGGATCAAGTGGCTACGGATGCTGGCGGTCTCAAAATTTTTGGAGGTGGCTAACGATAGGTTGACGCCAGGTCTGCATCAGTGTTCCCCGTCAGAGCCTTAAAACTAAGCCCGGACTACTCGAGAGCTAGGGGCAAGAGAAGGAATAAGAGAAGAACCGAACGTCTTGTCGTCAAATTCCTCTGTAGAATAAGAGATCCTCTGCTGTCTCGCAGGAGCGGAGCGAGATTGGTTCGAGGCTGAACAGCCACGGCGGATCGCCATTGGACATTGTGATGCGAGCGAACGGACCTTGGTCACTCAGCCTTCTTTTACAAAAACTGCCGCAAGTATTGTACGAAATAAGAACTTTGAGAGGCATGAAATGCAAGGGTTCTAAGTTTATAAGAAGGACTTAAGAGAATATACTAGTGCTCTAGCGCCTATCTACGTATTCGAGTAGTCTTGAGTAATATTAAAAAGTTATATAACTCTACACTTACTCTAGTATATTCCGTTTTCTAATTGTACTTATATATTAATTGTATCTAGCTACTTACAAGTATAGTTACAGCTACTATATTTATAAATCTTATTAAAAACACAGAGAGATGTACTATTAACTAATAAAATTTTTCATATAAGGAAGAGACATTATTATATATATAAATTCATAAGAGAGTTAATTTAATTAGAGTGAGAGAAATATAAAGAACATCTTTTTAAAAACCTAATTAATTAATTTTTGCTTTCTAACTTATATTATTTCTAAGCTAGCTAAAAATACTAATATTATAAATAGCTATAATAGCTTATATAGTAGCTATAAATACTACTATATACTCTCTTCTAAGAATTATAAAATAGTAAGCTATTAAATATTTATAGAAAGCTAGTATCTAAATTTTATCACTAAATATTATTTCTAGCTAACTAAATTCTACTTTTAAGTAGTATAACAAAATATTATAGAAACTCAAAACCTATTATTTTAAACTTATTTCTATATAAAACTACTTTCCTTTAGATACTATCTAGTAAGATTACTTATAGATAGAACTATTTATTATTATTTCGAAAAATTCTCTATTACTATATTAATAAACTATATATATACTTATAGAACTCTAATTCTAATAAAGTATTTAAAGAATTCAAAGCACTTATAGATCTCTTTGAGCCTTTAGTATTTAAAGTAATTAGAGTAGCTCTACTTCTTTTTATTAAGAGATATATTAAATATAAAAAGAATCTAAAGCTTTTTTCTAAATTAAACTTTACTTTTATATAGAAACAACTATAGTTTTCGTTATAGAAGTTAAGTAGTTGATAGTTTTCTTTACTAAAAGCTTATTTTATACACTAGTTTCTACTATAATCTTCTACTTATTTTATTAGTTCAATTAAACTATAAGTTTTTTTCTACTTTTTTTTATACTATTAGAAAAAATATCTAAGTACTTAGAGTTACTTAGAGTTACTTAGAGTACTTATAGTAGACTCTAAGTACTAAGAGCTTAGAAGTAATTCTTATTCTTTAAAAGTTACTTATTAGAAGCTTATAAATACAATAAATGCTTAAAGCTCTTTAAATACTAAGAAAATACTAAATATTAATTAGAAGATAAAAGAAAGATTATTAAAGAAAACTTTAAAACTAGGTTAACTAGTAAAATATATTAATATTTTGTTTTATTAACTTTAAGCTCTTAAAGCTATTTTTAAGACTTTAGAGATACTAAGCTTAAATCTATCTTATAAGCTACTTATAAGCTACTTATAAGCTACTTATAAGCGTAATTATTTACTCTATATACTAAAGTTTATAATACCTATTAAGATCTTTAGAATGCTTAGAACTATCTAAGCTACTAAAGCTACTAAGCTATTAAGCTACTATATAAAACTCTAAATCTATCTCTATCTATCTAGCTAGCTCTATCTAGCCTAAATTACTATTATATATAAAAATAGCTATAGTATACGCTTATAGAGCTTTTGAAAAAAAAGTTTAAACTAATTAATTTTTAAAAATGTTAATTTTCTATCTTTACTAGCTAGAGAATAAAAATCAAGCAAGAAGCTAAATTTATTAAGCAGCTTAGTAGCTCTAAGTATTCTAAGTATTTTAAGTATTCTAATAAACATAAGAAGCTTAAGTATATAAAGTAATTAGATCTATCTCTAAAGTGTTATATTTAGCTCTAAACTAAATATAGCTAAATCTAATCTACTTTTAAGTTAGATATAGTTAAATCTATTTTACTTATAAGCTAAATCTAATAGATAGATCTAGTTATATCTAGTTTAGAGCTAAATCTTATTCATTAGATCTAGCTCTAATATTAAAAATGTAGCTACATTTAGCTTGAAACTAGTTAAGCTATAAAATAAAATACTAATATATAGCCTAATTACTTTGTCATTTAGCTATAGATTCTATAGTTAATATATTAATACTATTAATCTTAAGTATTTCTCTTAAATAGTTATTAGTATATAATAAGTATTACTATAGAATACAAAAAGATTTTCTAAAGATTAGAGCCCTAGATAAGAAAATAGAAAAGAGAAATAAAATATAGAAAAATTAGATTCTAATTATTAGATAATCATTAAATAAGTTATAAGAATACAATATTCTTATTTAATATTAAGTATAGTATTTCTATAAGAGAAATATTACTATCTATATATTAGACTATTTTTATAGTTTATACTATCTATAGTGTCTATAGGCTTTATAAATAGTTTAAATAATATAAATAGTATCTATATTATTTATATTATCTATTATTTTTATAGCTAGTATAAATAATATAAATAGCTTTAGTAACTTTACTTAGTTTAACTCTATCTTAGTGCTAGCTTTAGATTATATATTAGTAGAAAATTTTATTATCTTTAAAGTCTTGGAGCTACTAAGCCTATATCTATCTTATTATATTAGCGTTTTATTTTGCAGCTCGACTAGCTCTAAGCTATATATAGTTAAATCTAATATATTAGATATACCTCTAAGATATTAGATTTGCTTCTAAGCTACATGTAGCTAAATTAGGTTTAGCTCTAAGCTATATGTAGCTAAATCTAAGCTATTAGAGCTAGCTCTAGATACTCTACTAACTTAGCACCCTTAAGCTTCTTAGAATACTTAGAATACTTAGGATACTTAGAGCTACTAAGCTACTAAGCTACTAAGCTACTCGAGCTACTTTTTAGAGTTTAATTTTTCGCTTAATTTTTACCTTCTAGCTAGTAGAAGCGAGATATCTACGTTTTTAAAGATTAAGTAGTTTAAACTTATTTTTTTCAAAAGTTCTATAGGTATATAATATAAGCGGAGCTGCTTCTATATATAGTAGTAGCTAGTTAAAGCTTAATAGAGCTAGATAAATAGAGCTAGATAGATAGAAGCTTAATATAGTAGCTTAATAGCTTGAGTAACTTAGGTAGCTCTAATTATTCTAAGTATTCTAAGTATCTTAGTAAGCTTAATAAGCTTAAGAAGCTCGAGAAGCTTAATTTAGCTAAGTAAATAGGCTTTCTTGCAAGCGGCTCGCGAGATAGATATAGACTTAGCACCTCTAAGGTCTTAGAGATAGCTCTAAGATCTTAGAGGTGATATATATATTTACTAATAATCTAAGGGTATATATAGTAGCTACATAATTACACTATACCTCTATATTTCTAGAATTAAGTAGTATAGTAAAATATAGAATATAGAGAGACTTACTAACTATATACTATTATAGAGGTTATTATCTAGATTAAAATTATAGAGTAGTATTACTAGGTAGCTAAACTTAAGGTAGAGTATATATAGAGATAGCTACAGGATATTAATAGAGTATAGAAACTCCTTAGAAAGAAATATAGTGTCTATACTATTCTTATAGTAGTCTACTAATTAGAATATTATCTTTATATCTAGTATTATATTAATTAGTAACTAGTTTATACTATTTACTATCTTATTCTTTAGCGTAAAGATTATAGAGTCTTATAGCTAATCTATAGGTAACTAATAGCGCCTAAGACTAGGAAAAATAGTAGTAGTAAGCACTTTTATACTATTACTTATTACCTAGTTCTATATATTCTAATAGACCCTTCTATCTAGATTAATATACTTACTAATCTAGAGTAGCTTTCTATAAACGCTATAATCTTCTAGTACTTACTAAGGGTAAGGTTTAGGCAGTATAGATATATTTTATATAAAATAAAATGTATATATATAGTACTATAAGATAGAATACTTAACTATTATATTAATAATCTAGCTATAGGTTCTTTACTTAACTATAGATAGAATCTAGCGGAAGTTACTATATAAGTATATTATAATACTACTAAAAGGAAGCTACTACTAATTAACATCTTTGTTATAGAGGTTCTATAGTATATATAAAACCACTTCTACTATATAGTAATAGTATATTACGACTTTAATCTAAAAGATTAGATGCGTCTTTTATAGTAGCTTTATAAGATATAATCGCTTAGATATATTATAGGTTATATACTTATTAATATTAATTAGAATCTTAAAGTAGAAGTGTATAGTAATATCTTTAATAAGTAGAGTTACGTTAATACTAGATATTATAACTATAAGTACTGCCCTATTCTATAGCTAATAGTAGAATAGGATAGTATTCTATAGAAAGGTTTTACTAGTACTACTAGAGCTATTAATAAAGAAGAAACTAGCTTAATTAGATTCGACTACTTAGCTAAATAGATTAAATATAAGATACTACTTAGTATTTAGGCGTAGAAAGCTATTAGTAAAGCTAGTCTATATTTTCTTTATATTAAATATAAGCTACTTATATAGAAGATAATTATAGTAGCTTATAGAGTTCTTAAGCTAGCTATACTAGAGTTATAGAAAGCTATAGCTCTCTAGTATTTAGTTGTA